ACATGCACATACACACAAACATTCACACACACAATTAGACACAGGAAGATATGGATAATAATATTGGAAAGGATCGGAGACCAGAACTCATGTATGAGAAGATAAAGGAAGGCTCTGGCTCCTAAAACTATATCTTATCCATCTCCTCTGGTGCTGTACACCTGGGATGAAGCTAGATGGTAGACCTGTGCTTAGAGAGAACCTCAGTGGCCTCTGTGTACAGCCTTCTCCACTCTGGCCTATGCGTGGCAAATGCTTGAGTCCACGGTACTAACCAGACCCTGCATGGCGAATCATACACCCTCTTCCAGCCCAGTTCATAGTTTGCCTTCAAATACAACCTCATGTGTTCATGAAGATATATTTAAATTAGTGTGCAAATGAAAGCAAAACAGACCTACTTTTGGCTTGCACCTCAACTGCTCTTGCAAAATATCAAATGTTAATCCATAGGAATCACCTGACAGAAGTTTTATCTCATTAACGCAGTCCCCATGGCCAAGACCCAAATCCTAGCTTGTCTCTGACAGCTGCCTGTGAGAGAAGGTAGGGCCACCAGGTGGAGAAGCCTCTGGGTCTTCCCTCCACAGGAAGCAGATGTGGAGGGAACTGGCTGTCAACATGGTGGGTCCCTGCCATCTGGGCTCCTCTGAGCAGATGGGGCACAGCTGCCCTGGTGGGAGCACAGCTGGGCTCCAGGCTAGGTACTGAGGCTGCCCTTTGCAGATTCTCCACTCAGAGGCTCAGAGCATCTGACTCTGCCTTGAAGACTCAGAGCCAAGTAGGCCTGTGTCTGACTTCTTCCCACAGGGCTTCCCAGGGAAGGCTCCAGGGGCCTCTGCCAAGTCCTATCAAGTGTTCCTCTAGAAACAGCTGGAGGTTCAGTTCCTGGTTCACCCTTGGCTCTGCTTTTTCTGCTGGCACTTTGCCTATGATCCTGTCACCTTGGGGTGATCTTCACCCGTGGAAAGGACTGAAAAGCACTGTTTCTAGGCTTACATTGTCCTTTGAGAAAATGCTCCTCTAGCTTGGGTATTCCTAAATTGAAGATCCCTCTTTGGTCCCTGTGTTCTGCAGCAGTGATTTGCATCTTTGTTTATTCATTAGAAATATATATATATATATATATATATATATATATATATATATATATATATATATATGAGACGGGTGATGGTGGTGCATGCCTTTAATCCCAGCACTTGGGAGGCAGAGCCAGATGGATCTCTGAGTTCAAGGCCAGCCTGGTCTACAGAATGAGAGCCAGGACAGGCAGCAATGCTACACAGAGAAAACCTGTCTCGAAAAAAACGTGTGTGTGTGTGTGTGTGTGTGTGTGTGTGTGTGTGTGTGTGTGTGTGTTAGGGGTGGGGAGGAAGGGAGGCAGGGAGAGATAAGTCCATTTGTTCCTATGTGAGGTCGTGAAGCACCTGTCAGTGATATTGAGGCACCACATGCATGGAGAGTCAGAGGACAACCTCTGGGTATTGGTTGTCATGAGAAAGGGATTGAGACTCAGTGTGTCAGCAAGGTTAGCTGGCACCCAAGCTTTTACAAGTTCTCCTGTCTCCACCTTCTACTCCTCACAGGAACCCTGGGATTATAAATGCTTGTGTCACTGCCTTTAGCTTCTAGCTGGGTTTGGGGGATTGTCAGGCATGAACTGTAGGGATTCTGCCCCACTGAACTGACTCTTCAACCCCATTCAAATCATGGGGGTTTGGTTGTTGTTTGTTTGTTTTAGTGCAAATGCCCAAATTCCCTTCATGGAGATTCTGAGGAAGTTGATTTGCGTAAAATATTCTTCAGAACCCTGCTTGAAACGCTCTTGCTGAACCCTCTTAGCCTGGCACCTGAGGCCTTGGGGACTGGTTTCTCTCCACCTGCTTTTACTGGCATCCCTTGTCCATCTCTTTCATTTGTCTCTTTCTGTTTTCCATTATCTATTTCTTTGTTATCCAGGCAGCTGTCTGTCTCCTACAATATTTGCTCACTGGACTGAATGCTGTCTCTTACCTACTCTGTGAGACATTCTTAGACTTCGTGTAGGGAGTTAGCAATGCCTCTTTCTCCTCTGCCTCTCATCTCTGTCTCCCCCAGAGCTTCAAGTGTGCAACTGTTTGTGGTTGGGTTGACTTTGTCTTTGATTTTTATTAGCATATATTAACTGTGTAGTCGGTATCATTAATAACGTTTCACACACATGTATAATATATTTTGATCATATTCACCCCATTACACTCTCACTTTCTTTCCTGGCCCCCCACTAGTTTTGGTCCCCTCCCCTTCCAAATTGGTCCCCTTTCTGCTTTCATGGCTTTGCTTTTAATAACCAATGAGGTTCACTAGTGTTGTTTACAGGAGCATGGATGGGGAGTTACAGGTACTGAGGTACCTTAATAGTGGCTACACTTCTGAAGGAAGGGCCCTCTTATCCAGCAACCAGTAACTGAGTAGCAATCATTGTGGGTCGAATTGTCACAAGCTCTTCACGCTGCCTGACAGGGTGTTTGTGGGTCAAACCTTGTGTAGATCTTATGCAGGCAATCATAGCTCCTGTGAATTCAAGAGTGCAAACAGCCATGCTATGCCCAGAGTCAATCTAGGTGTCCATTGGCTGGGTTATTAATTACATTGTCTTCCTCATTGGCCGGAAGTCAAAGGATAGTGTTTTAATCCTTCCAACAATTGCCCCTGTGGCTCATTCCAAAATACAAAGGCATATGATGTTAACATTTGTACTTTCCCACCTCAGGGGTGTTTTGGACTCATGGTTTTGTCCATCAGTGTTGGCTCATATGGTGCATATGCTCATACTGAGCATACAGCTACAGTAGTAGTTTCAATCCCTAGAGCCATCTTTAAGTACAGTCAGTGCTCCCCTTTTGCAGATGGGGAAACTGAGGCAATCAGAAGGAAAGCAGCTTGGTGTACAGCCAGGCACAATGAAGATGGTTTGAACAATGAGCATGTATCAGTTCTGTTATTGATGCCTGAGCAGTCAATAGAGCCGTTTCCCTCCATGTTCAGTGGGCCATAATTGAGCAGTAGTCTCCATAGATGGAAAAATTTTGAAAGGAAATAACCGGCCCTTCATGATTAATTCCTAATGCAGCTTCCTCAGGAAGGTAGGTGAGTGTTGCAGTGCAGCCGAAAGAGATCTGGGGCAAAGGATCAGGACAAGTTACTTTTAATAAGTGAACTCTTGGCCCGCCAAATGCTCTGGGAATTGTCCCCTGATTATGTTTGATCCCTGTAACAGTGATGCCAAACCGGTATGATCATATGTGCAGGTGATGAGCCAGAGATCAGGGAATGTAGGTGACTTGGACAATATTTTATGATGAACTTAGAAAAAACTGTTGGAGTCCAGAGAGACAGTTCAGCCAGTAAAGGTGCTTGATGCTGAGCCTGAGCATTTGAGTTCTATTCCTGGGATCCAAGTAGTGGAAGGAAAGATTCAATTCACATAAATTGTCCTTTGACCTCTATGTGTGCGCACATACACCCACCCTCTCACGCACACATACAGTCAACTAAATATATTAAAATTTCTACAGTTAGTGTTCAATTAATCTGATCCTGACTTCAGTGGAAAACTCTTTTTACCTTACAATGGGACTGACCTTGTCCACTTCAGTAATCTGACATGAAAGTGGAGGCAAGCATGTCTGAAGAATGAGACAGTGTGGGGCATGGGGAAGGCTGGTAGGCTACTGAAGAGGATATGATCAAAGCATATTACACTCTTAAATGCAACTGCCCTTGTGTAGTGGTGATGATTAATGTTAATTGCCACCTTCATGGGATCTGGATTCATCTAGGAGCAAGCCTTCAGACACACTCAAGACGGATTACAGAAATTAAGGTTAGACTGAGAATATGTGTGAGGGATTCCCTGGATTATAGTAGTTGATATAGGAGGACCCATCTTAATGGTAGGCAGGACCATTCTCTGGGCTGGGCATCTGATCCTAGACTATAGAGTAGAGAAGGCAAGCTGAGCAGCAGCATGCATTCATCCCATCCTTCTATCTTTCCTAATTTTGGGTGTGATGTAACCAGCTGCTTCTGCTGATTGACTTCCCTGCTACCATGGACTATATCCTTGAACTGTGAGATGAAATAAATCCTTTGAGTTAATTTTGTCAGGGTATTTTATCATAGCAATAGGAAAAGAAACTAAGACAATTACCCTGTGTAGCTGAAAGTTTTTCTGTGTCCCATCTGGTCTGCAGTCAGGACAAATCTCTGTCACCCAACGGTCTTGCAGCCACTCGGACCCAAATAAACACACACAGGTTAATATTATTTTTAAACTATGGCCACATCAGGCTTCTTGTTATTTAGTTCTTATATCTTAAATTAACACATTTTTATAAATCTATACTTTGCCATGTGGCTCGTGGGTTACCTGTACCTTTACATCTTCCTTCTTCTGGCAGCGTCTGGCAGCGTCTCCCCTGCTCTGTCTTCTTCCTTCCTCTCTCTCTCTTTAGAATGTACTGCCAAACATTATTCTGCCTCACAATTGGCCAAACAGCTTTATTTATCAACCAATCAGAGCAGCACATTTTTACAGCATATAGAATGACATTCCCCCATCAACCCTGTATAATTAAGTAATTTACCAGAGCCAGTGAAGCCCAGTGGTAGAGAGCTTGCATAGGATATGCTAGGTCTTGGTATTGATTTTTGGAATCATCAGTTAAAATAAAACCAAAAGTCAATTGTATCTGGGGATATAATTGCTGGTGTCATTTTGAGGGGTTTTAAGAGTTTTTTTTCTTCTTCTTCAGCTTTTACCTCCACAGTCACTCATCATCATCCTAATTAATATATAGCATGCCTTTATTTGGCACAGATGCCCCACACATTTGGGTTTGTCCCCTTTGTTTCATAGCCAAAACAGTCAGAAATGGCTCAGGAAAAGAGACTACGCCGTAAGGCCAAGGAGAGAGCTGACCCTCGTGAACCAGCCCTTCCTGTTTCTTTTGCAGGCAGTGACTTGAATGACGGCCTGTGGCACTCTGTCAGCATCAATGCCAGGAGAAACCGTGTCACCCTCACACTGGATAATGATGCTGCTTCTCCAGCTGCGGACACCTCCCAGCTGCAAATTTACTCTGGAAATAGTTACTACTTTGGAGGTAAATTCTCTAGCCTTTGAGACTTCAAATAAAATGACAGGGGAATTATTCCACCACGTGCTTTATCAAATACACAATCCTACTCATAGCCCTACATGCATACATATTTGCACACAAGCTCCAAACAGTGAGAAACCATTTCCTCAGACTACTGTGCAAATGTAAGCTATCTAGGACAGTGTTGAGGACAGAAGGACCTGAGTCCATAAGAGCTGGGTTATGTAACTCATCGAAGGAGGTTCTTGTAGCCATGCCAAGCTCCTTGGTCATGCTGGAAAGGGAAAACCTCCGCTGAGACCTTAGAGAAAAGGAGCTGAGTGTCAACAAGTACCTGCAAGAGGGGAAACTCAAGTGGGAGGCACCACCAGCCTGCTCAGCCATCCTGGTTGGTCCACTGCCACCTTACTTGTGAGCCTCATCTCCGCTGTTCCATGTCTTGGAGACACCCACACCATGGAGGGAGGCAGAGCAAAGGGGACAGGAGCTGGGGCTCCACAGGCGGAGCCATTGCTCTTTCTGAATGGTGGCTCGTTCTAGTGTTTCCTGAGCCCTACAACACTTCTAGTGACACAAACAAAATCAAACGGGGTGGACAAAGCTTTTGCGGCATTTTACCATTTTTAAAAACACACCCATGTTGAGTATTTTTTCAATTTTTATTTATTCTTCTCTCATACAATACATGCCATGCATTGTTTAGTGTTTTAACTGTATCTTTTATTAAAAGAGATAGTGCCTGTTTCTGTAGTCATGGTCTGTCTTACAGAAACCAGACCTAAAGGGAACTTAGTCTTCATGTCCTTCTGACCTCAAGCTCTTAAGATACAGTTCCTGGACTCACTTTCCTAGAACACGGACAACAAATTTAAGATTTGCTGGAAGATAGAAGCAAGAGCAGATTCCAGGCTTAATGAAGCTTAGTGGTGGAGGGCTTGCTCAGCAGGTAAAAGGCACTGGGCTCCATGCATAGCACCACATGCACACCCAAACCCTATACACACTCTCCACACCCAGCACTATATGCACATCCAAACCCCATGTACACTCTCCAGAGCCAGCACCATTTGCACACCCAAATCCCATGCATACTTTCCACATCCAGCACCACATGCACACCCAAACCCCATGAACACTCTCCACATCCAGCACTACATACACATCCAAACCCCATGCACACTCTCCACACTCAGCACGATATACACACCCAAACCTCATGTATACTCTCCAGAGCCAGCACCACATGCACATCCAAACCCCATGAACACTCTCCACATCCAGCACTCCATGCACATCCAAACCCCATGTACACTCTCCAGAGCCAGCAACACATGCACACCCAAATCCCATGCATACTCTCCACATCCAGCACCACATGCACACCCAAATCCCAGGCACATACTACACACAGAGCACCACATGCACACCCAAACCCTATGCACATTCCCCACACAAAACACCGCCCGCACACCCAACCCCAACTCTCCCCCACACCCTCTCCTATACAGTGTAGAGAGTGGCACAAACTGGTTCAGACCTTGTCAATGTGAACAAGAAATGATCTTGCCCTAGAGCTGACAGTTCCTTCCCATGAGGTAACTGAAGACAAGCACTGAAAAATAGCATTCACTGAAGAGATGGCAAGATGTCTTCCTGGGAAGAGGTGCTTGTTGTTCAAACCTGAGGACTTGCATTCTATCCTTAGAAACTGTAGAGTGGGCTTCATAAATCTCTCTTCTGAATTCCACACATGCATGGCTGCACAAGCTTGCCTGCACTCTCTTTTGCTCATGCATAATAATAAAAATAATAATAGCAATACAACATACACAGTAGTTACCCAGAGTCTTCTACAAACTAATCATACACTCTACATTGAGCTACACCCCAAACCCTATTGTCTCTTAGCTCCAAAATCTACAAATCATCTCTTTCTTCCCAAGAAATATATGGAAGGTTTGAAACACCAAAGGATCTTTGCACCGGTACAGAAATCATATGTAGGGTCTCCTTGGAAGGAAGCAATGTGGAACAAGATCAGTGAGGTTGGATTTTAGCATGAGGAAGTGCCACTGTCCTTCACCTACAAATCACCACTACATCCACAAAAGTAGCATATACTTTTAGGTGATAATATTTCCATGTGATAGATAATAAGGCTGCTGTGTTGAAATAAAAAAAAATCTGTAGGTTGGAGAGATAGCTTAATCATAAAGCGCTTGCTGGTAAGCATAAGGACCTGTATTTGGATGCCTAGAGCCCCCAGAAAGCCAGCCTCTGTAGCACATGTCTTATCTTCAGGCAACTTATGCCAGTTAACCTGGTGTACACAGTAGCAAACAGAAGATGCATTCTCAGACAAGGTAGAAAGCACCAACTCCTGTAGTTGTCCTGTGATATACATGCATGGGCTGTTGCATTTGTGCACCCATACTCACATACATTGTCACTCAAAGGCTAATAAAATCATAATAATCTGTAGACAGCTGTAGAGGCAGCGTATATATGGAGAAGATTCAAATCTGTGTTCACTGCAGCCCCCTAGTGAAAGCAAATGAATGAGAACAAATGCAGAGCAATGGCCTCAACTCCAAGCTGTGCATTCTATATCACATACTATATTTTAGCAATGAGGAAAGACTGTTGGTCAGGAATTTATTTGCAGGCAAAATGGCTTTGAATAATCATGTTATAATAATCATCTGAAATATCACAGAAGTAAAATGGCTCTCCTCCTCGAGCTAGAATATTGCTAAATTCTGGGTGTGTTTCCAGGGGTGCTAGACTTAGAATGTGAAGATTTATCTAAGATTTGAACAGTGTTTAAACAAACCCTCACACACAGACTGTAAACTTAAGGAAGGTGAAAAACGAGCTTCAGCAATAATAGTCAACTTCCATAAATTCTCTCTACAGCTTCAATTAGAAGTTGTAGCATCTCTTCATTTTATAGTGTGCCTGTGAGCTGTTAACCAGCTGCTGGGCTTCAGCCCCGCAGTGTCTGTCTATTAGAGATGGCTGAAATAATTCCCTATTATTTATGGCTTATTGTTGTGTTTTCAAGCTCACATTCCCATATGCTCGGAACCTATTAAAACCACTGAGAAGAGTTTGTAAGAGCACATGCACTCATCTACCTGCTTGGCCTTCACCTGTCTTAATGAGGAGTAGGCTGTCCTGGCTGCAGGTGATGCTAAACAGGGGCAAAGCATTTTTATCTCTAAAAGAACACTCTTTAAGAGGTGTGGTGTTAACCTTTCGCATGTGCTATTACAGCCTATAACCATGTGCATTTAAGCCCGCAGTTCTCTTAATATCTGGATTTGCTTTGCACAGCATGTCAAAAATCCTGCTTGGCTTCTGAGAGTACTTTTCTCGTGAACTAAGCCTGTTAATGTTCCACAATTAACCAGACTATTGCTCTGCTGCCATCCTTAGCAGAGCATGATTTCCTTAGAAAGAAAGTGTAATTCAGAATTGCATTGTGAATTTAGATGTGTATTTTGAGACAGAGCCAACATTTTCAAGCACTTACAATATGCGAAGGATGTCATTCAAAAGAAAGATGAATAGGTTTCCAGCAGGAAAAAAAAGTGTGTGTGTGTGTGTGTGTGTGTGTGAGAGAGAGAGAGAGAGAGAGAGAGAGAGAGAGAGAGAGAGAGAGAGAGAGAGAGAGAGAGAGTTTGGATTCTCAGTACCTATAAAATACTGGGCATGTCATGAAATACCTTGAATTCCAGTGATGAGATAAACAGGCTCCCGAGGCTCTCCGATAATCCAGTCTACCCCAACCAGCAAGCTCCAGGTTGGGTGAAGGGACAGTGTCATAAAAAGTAAAGAGTGAATGCAGATCCCTGGAGCTCATGACCATCTATGTACATTGGTTCACAAAGAGACCTTATCTCAAAGAATAAAATGGAAAGTGGTAGAAAAAAAACATACTGCTATCAATCTCTGACTTCTACATGTGCCCACATAAAGCACTGAATCTGCAGGCAAACACACACACACACACACACACACACACACACACACACACACGAACACATGATGGGAGTTAAGGTAAAAGTTATACCAATGATATTCCTTATGGTAGTTTTTTTTCCTTTCTAGTGACAGAATATACCCATTTTACATCATTTCTGCCCCTTCTCCTGAGCTAGGATTTACAACAGAAGTGTGTCTTGTTGTGAATAAAAAAGTGCCCGAATAATTAGACCTCAAGGTTTTCCATGAATAGGTTGCCAAAGCAATGACAGATCATTTCAGTGTTCTTCATCTTTTTTCTCTGTCCCACAGGGTGCCCTGACAATCTCACCGATTCCCAATGCTTAAATCCCATTAAGGCTTTCCAAGGCTGCATGAGGCTCATCTTTATTGATAACCAGCCCAAGGACCTCATTTCAGTTCAGCAAGGTTCCCTGGGGAATTTTAGTGATTTACACATTGATCTGTGTAGCATCAAAGACAGGTAATTATTGTCTCGTCTCCTCTGTTTCCCCACCCCTTCCCGTTCTCACTGTTCTTTATATGAGTTTCTTAAAGCAAAATTCTAATCCGCTCACATTAGACACATTAGACATAATTGAGTCACCCAATGGAAAATATTTTTGAAAGGATTTCAGGCCCAGAGAAAAACGGTTTAAATTAGTTGAGTCTCTCTTCATGTTGACTTGAAGTAAATGGGATATGCAAATTAAAACAAAATACAAATTTGTGAAAGGATTAAAATTTTATGCATAAACAACATTTGATTACTTTCAAGTTAAGAGTAAAGCATAAAGGAGGGAGGAAGTACTTCTCCCCCAAACCATTTCCTTCTTTGCCTGCTGTGGGTATCCTTCTTATAACAGCACAAAGCTTCAGGAATTCTCCACTAAGGGTTTGGCTGTGTTCAACATGGATGACCTCAGTTCCTCAGTTGGGGATGGCTGGTCCTAGCTGCCACCAACTCCACCCACTGTTTCTTTAGTTCCAAAGAGACCAGATAGTAAGCTACCGAGAATCAGTTCTTACATTCTGCATTGCAGAAATCTAGCATGACACTCAGTATCCAGGTGTGTCTCTCTTGGGATTTGGCTCCTCTTATGTTGGAAATTTCTAGATTTAAAGTCAGAAAACCAAGAGAATGGACAGTGAATTTAAGCAGGATTTGGCCATATTCCTTGTTCACCTACTTGCTCCATTTTTCTGATTCTGCTTACCCCTTGAAGATATCAATGAGCCAGTGGGTAAATGATTTGTTAAGTGTTTACATATATCCTTGTATTAGAAGTCCTTGGTTACATTAATTAGTTGTTGCCATAATCTCAAATATACCTCTTTGTGAACCATGTGGTACCAGTAAGGACACATGAGACCCGTAAGTTGGTACCACTGTGAGACTAAGGACTGAGACTGAGGAGGTTGGGAAGGTGATGGCATTACATCTTAAAGGATAAGGAGAAACCACGCTTGACAAAGGTGAGGGTAGCTGGAAGCTGGGAGGAGACAGCACCACAGAACTGCAAGGAAACAACATGGCTCACAAGTGTCATCAGTTCAGAATGCTTTTGATTTTGCACTTAAAATCTCTAGCACTGGGGTACATTTTATAACTAATAGCATATGATAATTTCCTTGGAAACACTTATTTCCTGCATAGCAAGTAACTGATGGCTTGTCTTGCAGTTTACCATATCTTAGGTTCAGTTGCTACAGTTCAGCTCATAGGTCATGCAGGGAAGGCACATGGCTTGCATACAGTTGGGGATGTGAACCTGGAATCTTCACAAAGAGGGCTTTGTGTTTACAGAATTTGATTCTACGTTCTGTGTAAGGACTAAGAAAGAACACCATCAGATTTGGTGGATAGAAACATGAGTTTGGAAAATGTAGGGCAGAATTAAGGGAGTTTGGGAGGTGAGTATCCCAGTCCAGGGGAGAAATGATGAGAAGTATCACGTGCCTTTCCTGGGAAACATGGGAAATCAGCCATACAGAACATGGTCTCCGCTAATGCTGGAAATGACTGCTGTAACTAGATGGAACATAACACTCCATTCTGATAATAAATACCATTTCACATGGGATCACTAATACACCACACTGACTTCTTTTTTTTTTTTTTTTGTCCACACTGACTTCTTGATCTTTGTGCCTTTTTTTTCCATTTGACCATCTGTGAAAGTGGGTAATAAAATGTGTGCTTCATTAAAATGTGCTAATTTAGAAATCTCCAAATCAAAGCTATTACAGGGAATGGCTACCACCCCAAGTCTATATTCCCGGCCAGGGAGAAGCTTCCAAATCCATCAGCTGGTGCAGCATTTTATGTACTGCAGATCAATACAGGGATGTTTGTCAATTGGGATCTCTTTGATACCTTAATATACAATCAAGGAAGCTCTCATTATTTTTGATTACATGGAAGTCATTGCCATCTACCCTGCATCATTACTTCTGTATAATTGTAGTCTTGAGTAATTATATTACATACAATTGTGGTTTGGTTAATTGTATAATGAGGAATGTGTTTCGTTTAGTGGGCAAATGGTATGTTTCTGTTGATTTGCAGTTACTTTCTCTAACAAAATGGAAAACTGTGGCCAAAGCTTTGTTTGATCTCGTACTGATCTAATTTACATTTGCTTGACATCTGTGGTGGGGGAGAAGGGTTACAAAGGCAGGTTTCCTGAGTTTTGTGTTTTCTTTTCGTTTTTTATAATAAATGCCATAAAAAAGTGCATGTATATGTAAACAAGGAGCAACAATAAATATGTCAAATAAAGAGGCTAGAGGCCAGAGGTCAGAGGTCAAGCAAGGAGAGAAAAGCCTCACTGCTTGGGGAAGCAGACACAGGGGGGCCTCTGGGGCTCCCTAGCCAGCTGTAACAGTGAGGTTTCCGGTTCATGAAAAACCCCTCTACTGTTTGTTTGTTTGTTTGTTTGTTTGTTTTTGTTTTTTGTTGTTTTCAAACCATCAGGAGATCCAGTTTATTTACACCAGCAGCCATGGGGGCAGAGGGAATACACAGCGTTTACAAAGTTAGCTACCTGTACAGGATGGATAACATATGCAAAAATAAAAATCTCAAGACCACAGTACAGCGTGGGCCCCATCCCTCCTCCCCCAATGACCCCAGCATGCTGTAATGCCAGGCAGGTAGCCCCTGGGCATGCGGGGGGGGGGCGGGGGACAACAGGTTGATGCATGGAAGGAAAAGCCACCGCCACCTGCCATGGAAATTAGTATAGACCCCCCTCCCCACACACACACCCTCAGACACATGATAGGATACAGGGTGGAAGACACCTAGCCAGGGCCGGGGGATGGGAATTGAAACCCACACAGCCTGCTGTTAGAGGGAGTGGGGAGTTCCTAGCCCTGTTCAACTGCAAGGCACTGGGGGTAGGGGATGGCACTACACGGTAGGGGGTGCATACTCCCCAGAAGGAAGGGGTTTGTTCCCTCAGGGTCCCTGCTGGACCAAGCCCATCTCTTGCCCTGCCTGGGCAGGCCGCTCTGCCCTTAGGGTGAGGCAAGGAATAATAGGGAAGTGTTTTGTGGACAAACCAATTCCCAAACAACCCCCTCCAACCAGAGGAGAAGGGAGAGGTAGGAGAGCAGAGTGAGTTGGCCTGGGCTGCTGTCCCCTGACCTTCAGCAGGCTCCCAAGCCTGTGCTTGAAGGCAGCCTAGAAGATTCTTCCCCCTCTAGTTTCCCCTCAAGAGAGAAAGCTGTAGAGGGCCAAGGACAGAGGGGCCCAGGCTCCAGGATTTAAACTAACTCCTGCCAAAATTGGTTTGACTTTTTAAAAAATAATCACAATGCTTGGGTTAAAAATCAGTTTGTAACCAGGCATCAGCCACAATCAGAACTACCCCAGGGGGAGACTGGGGTTCCAGACAGGGTACTGCAACCCTAACTCTGTTGTTCCCTTAACCCTCTAGGGTTCCTAACCCAAATCAGTCCAACCAGTCCTGGGTACT